CAGCTGTCCCCTTGTGACAGGCGGGTGCAGGCACCGCGTCATGCACGGTGGCCCGCGCGGTCTCTGGGGCCGCCCTCAGCGCTGATGCTGAACGTGCTTGCAGAGGCAGGTGCTGGTGGGGCCGGAAGCCGGGGGAGGCAGGAGCGGAGGGTTCAGGTTGCGGGACCCCCACAAGCGCTGCCCGGCTCTGGACCTCTTTTTTTGCATCTGGGAAATGGGGAGAGATGGGGCGGGCTGGCTTGGTTTCCCTCTCCTTCTTCCTCCCTGTTGCCTCCTCCTCATGATTATTATAGTATCATTCTCGTCATCATCAGCATTATTAATAGTATCATTACTATTTTTATTATTCGGTTGGGTTCTAGGTGTACTCCTGGCCTGGATTCCACAACCCCGGGTTTTAATTGAGGGGGCCTTCAGTCTGAGGGCACTTGGTCCATGACCAGCCGGGCTGGGGTGGGAGCACGTGAAGGGTGGGGGAGGAGAGCCAGCCATCAGGGGGAGTGGCTGAAAGCCCACCTGCCCAAGGCCACGGTAACCCAGTCAGCGTGGCCTTGGCATGGAGGAGGGGCAGAAGCATAGAGTATCCAGAAATAGATTCTAGGATATTTGAGAGTTTCATGTGTGGTGTTGGTGGCAGACGTTTCAGCGGAAGATGGGTGGGGTTTGTGATAAAGGACGTTGGCCCTGCTGGTTTTGAATCTGGGATTGGATAATGAGGACTCTCCACCTCGACTGAAAGAAATAAGCTGGAGCCAGACTGAAGCCTTCAGTGTAAAAAACAAACACACCAAGAACCTGGAGCCCGGGAGAGCTCCAGGAATCGGGGATTACTGTCTGTGTTGTTTACCACTTAAAACTAGGCCTGGCGTGTAGTAGGTGCTCACAAAAAGTGGGCGTGGGCTGGCCGGTTACCTCACTTGGTTAGAGTGTGGTATGATAGCTCCAAGGTCAAGGGTTCAGATCCCCTTACTGGTCAGCCGCCAAAAAAAGGTGATTCACTAAACACTGTGGTATATATACACAATGGAACACTATTCAGCTATTTAAAAAGTGATATCCTATCTTTTGTAGCAACATGGATGGAACTGGAAACCATTTCGTTAAGTAAAGTCAGTCAGGCAGAGAGAGACAAATACCGTATGATATCACTTATACGTGGAATCTAAAAAAGAAAAGAAAAAAGCGGTTCTCGTAGAAGTAGAGAATAGTGGTTGCCAGAGGAGGGGGGGAGGGGGGGAGGGGAGGGAGAAATGGTGGAT